TTTTTTTGTAAGAAAAATATCCATATTCAAAACGTAATAATCACTTTAATGTAGCTTGCGCCAACAGTCCTAAACAAAAGCAGCTCCAGGCAGATGACGTATGAGTGGCATTAAACAGCTTGAAAGATCAAAGACAATTTTTAATATAGCTCCGACTGGATTCGTCTGAAAGAAGAAAGTCATATACACCTAGGATGACTTGAGGGTGAGTAATTTGTGGGCTAATTAAAATTTTTGGGTGAACTAACCCTTTAACGTCACATTTACCTCTGAAAAAAAACATATTCGGTTACCATAAACTCATTAGTCAGATAGAAAAATAAATTGTATAGAGGGGCATTTTGCTTAATATATGCACCATATAACATATTCATTATAATTTTTACTGTTCTTCAATGTTTAATTTGTTTGAATAAATCCATCAAGTTTTTATGACAGCCACCATTTAAATGTTTATATAAAAAAAAAAACACAAATTGAAGTAGAAATATGAATATGTAACTGTAACTTTATTATTGTAAAAACTTCATTAATTTTAACCTTCAATATTATAGTAATGTTGTACCAACTGACTCTCGTGTATATTTTACAGCATTAGTTGAGATTTTTTTTTCCTTGAGAAAATTTGGCATGTACTGTACCCGATATATATCCAAAATAATCGATATTGAATCGAATCGCAAGCTTGTGAATGAGAATCGAATTGAATCGTGAAATTTGTGTCAAAACCCAGCCCTACACTGACAGTAATTTTAGTCACACAAGTTGCATTGCCTGCACTCTCATTGGTAGAGGCTGCATTTTTGCATTGACATGATTGATGTTGCTTGTTTCTCTCATTGAAAATTGCAGTAACTTGCAGTTACTTTAACACTATAAATCGCTGTCATTGTGAACATCTCTCAAAATAGACTTGAGGATGGGAACACAGAATAAATTTACAAACATGAGAGGATTGTCTTCTGGATATATACTTTGAGTTTAGTCTGGGAGACTCAGCATTTTGAATAATTCTCCTTTGAAGTTCTTTTAAATACAGAACAAAGCTTTTTGGATAAATACCAAACCAATTTTGTTTACCAGAAATGTTTAACATCCAATTGTGAATCTTTTTATAGAAAAGTGCCCATCAAAGTCATTTTAATTATCTTCAAAGAGTTCCAGTCTGACCTTTTCTATAAAAAAAGGGCAAACGATGACTCTTCAAATATTGTTTTTTGCTAAGGTTTAAAGGGGTCATATGATGCTAAAAAGAACATTATTTTGTGTATTTGGTGTAATGAAATGTGTTTATGCAGTTTAAGGTTAAAAAAACATTATTTTCCACATACTGTACATTATTGTTTCTCCTCTATGCCCCGCCTTTCTGAAATGTGTAGATTTTTACAAAGCTCATCGTTCTGAAAAGCGAGGTGTGCTCTGATTGGCCAGCTATCCAGTGCGTTGTGATTGGCCAAATACCTCAAGCGTGTGACGGAAATGTTACGCCCCTTACCATATTGTGATGCCGTGTCCCGGCCAGAGCGACGAGACAAAACATTAAAACCCATTATAAACGAGGCATTTGTTGCATCCAGTGTGGACATAATTACGGAATATAATGACTTAGTTAGAACGAGCCGTTTTAGGTAGGCGTGGTTGACTCTTAACTTTTATAAAGAATATCTCTTTGGATTTGAGACATTAGTCATTGCAACTTTACAGATCTTCTTTATGTACCAAGAGCTTGTAACACTCCAAAGAGAAAGGAAAAATTGAAATTGCATCATATGACCCCTTTAATATTTGTGAATGGCTCTTTTAACTGGACACAGCTATTCTGAAATTTCACAAGCACCATCTTTGTTTTCTCAAGATTTTCTTGGTGTATATAGCCAAGAATCATTGTGCAACAAACCTGCTGAATATTTGCAAATTCAAATTACAATAGAAGCATATTGGATTGCTGTCATTATTTAAAACATTTGTTCTAGTGTTGACTAACACACTGCCAACGGATTACCTTTTCCTTGTAGTTCAGATGAACTGATTCGAAAACCACATCAAGGCCTATTTCTGTAAAACCAAATGCCACGATATCACCTGTTCTTCTTTTTGCTTCTACTTTATAACCAAGCTAAAACACAAACTTTGAAACAAAGATGAGATTGTTGTGAGGTTTCAGGCTGGTTCAGGTTTTTCACCACTGACCAGACTTCCAAAATGCCTTCCTTGTGGTATTAACCATGCTTTATTCACAAGAACTGAGCTAAAGCTATGATATGATGGTGCCATTCTGTGTAAACATGATTAAAATCATCAGTCAAAATGCATTCGACTGACTGATGTTTATAAGCGATTTGTCTTTGTTCTTTTTGAAATGGCGTGACAACCTCTCAGTGGTCTTTAAAGCTGGTAAGTGATGTGTGTTTTGGACTGCTGTAGTATAGATATGAGGTTTAAGAATAGACTTTGAGTGTTTAGTTCTAGGACACTATGACTGCAATAAAACCCTCTCTTTCCTCATGTCGTACCGCTTAAAGATGTATTTCTTATAGTGTGGCTAAATGTTTATAAATAAAGTGGAATTGCAAAATTAGAATGTATGCAAACAAATGGGCCTATTAAAACCCTAGGAAGGACATCTCTCTTAAGAATGACTGTTTATACCATGTGCTCTGCGACCGTCTTCGACTGCAACTGGATGCTTGTCAGTGTTTCTTTGCCTCAAACCAATAACCTGTATTTGTACAGGCACCAACACTAGAGGACCTCAGCCACCTTCCTCCTGAACAGAGACGCAAAAAACTTCAACAGAGGATCGATGAGCTGAATAAAGAACTACAGAAAGAAATGGACCAAAGGTAGACCGTGGAGAGTGCTACTCAGTCTTTTTGTTTGTTTGTGTTTCTATAAACTCTCCGTCTAGCATTGTTTCCTTAAAAAAAAAAAAGTGAGTAGAATGTGAATTTATTATTTTATTAATTTATTTATTTTTTTTACATAATCATATCCATTTATATTAATTTATTATTTATTTATTTATTTTAATTATTTGTGTTGTTACTTTTTTCCTTAATTTTTTGTCCCCCCGTGTTTGCAGCCATGCATGCTCACAGCTTAAACACTTAAAAACCTATTAAATAGCTAGAGAATAGTATCTCAAAACCATAATTGTCTTTGTCGCAGAGATGCTCTTAACAAAATGAAGGATGTTTATGAGAAGAATCCTCAGATGGGAGATCCTGGAAGTCTCCAGCCCAAGATTTCAGAGACCATATGCAACATGGAGAAACTCCGCTCCGAGATCCATAAAAATGAGGTAACCTTCCCAGAGGATCAGCTTATTGTTGCAGTCTTATAAGGAAGCACAGCCTCCGAATGTACATCTAGATAAATTTGACATAAAACAGCTGAGCGGCTCTGTGTGTCAGCACCATCTAGTGGAGGAATGGATATAATGCGGATTCTGCATCACTTGAAATGCAATTTATCTTGAAGTTTCTCATAATAAGCCTTTGAATTTAACAGATGTTCATTAGTAGTACAAAATATTTGGACCTGTTATCACTCTCCACCTCTGTCTCTCCATCTCAGAGTTGGCTAGCAGAGGTTGAAGGAAAGCACGGATCCCGTAGTGAGCGACGTCCCAGTGCAGATGTGAACCATCATGCACCCCACGGCAGAGAGAGGTCTGCACTTCCTGATTACGTTTATCTACATTCTCAAGATAGACAGACTAATAATATGTCTATGTATACAGCCGTCTCTTTTATGAGTGCCTGAACTGTTTGTAAATCCATGAGTAGAGGAGCTGTTGAGCTGTTCTTGCGGTTCTGCAAGATTTTTGTAGATATAAATGAGTAGAAAGGCACAGCACTGGGATTCAAATAGTCATGTAGTTGGAATACCAATCATAAATCATTCAATGCTAGGGCAGATTGACTCAAATTTAATATCAGCTGTTTTCAACATTGATAATAATAATAAATGTTTCTCAAGGCACCAAATCGTCATATTAGAATGGTTTCTGAAGGATCATGTGACACTGAAGACTGGAGTAATGATGCTGAAAATTCAGCTTTGCCATCACAGGAATATTTAATATATTTAAAACTATATTGCAATATAAAACTGCTATTTCAATTAGTGATATTTCACAATATTACTGTTTTACTGTATTTTTGCTCAAATAAATGTATGAGTGTAAGCATAAGATGTTAAAAGATTTCTTTTTAAAACATTAAACATATTTCGAATAGTAGTGCACTTACTGCAAATGTACTTGATCTCATTACATTTTCTTTTTATTTGGGTCTTGATGTACGTAAACTAAAAGAAATGACAAAGATACATGAATCACTAACCGTGATATCAGTGGAACAGTAGTGGTTGTCATATGTAACGACTGTGCCTTCCAGTCCTATTCAAGTGCTTTGCGCCTCCACATTTCACACCGAACATAAAGGCGCTTTGACGCTCTCAAAAACACCTTGCATTAAATGTTTCTTGTTTACAACTTTGCACGTAGTTTCTGTGTTCATCTATGCTATTAAATTCTTGTTAAAAGTATTAAAAATGTGTTTGTTCCTTAGGCTCTAACGAAGGCACGTTGGTAATGAACGAGAACGAGGTGCTGTACGTCATAGAGATAGATAAAGGTGACGGATGGACGAGGATTCGGAAACAAGGCGGAGAGGAGGGCTACGTCCCCACGTCCTACGTGGAGATCACACTGGAGAAAAACAGGAAAGGTGCGGTCACCTACATATGACATCACCCATGGCAGCACCGCCTAGTTATGACATCACACATGGGGGAGCGTGTGTCAGATTTACCGTGACTCATCAAGTGCAGCTCGGCTGACTGCCATATGCCTTTGTTCACCATGTGAGCTCAAGGGTAAACACACACAGACACACTGGCTAAAGTGACTATTTCCTCTGCACTGTGACTTTGCTGCAGCAGATTCAACTGTAGAGATTTGTATAGCTTTTATTCCATTTTTAATTAGTGCTTAATGCACTGTTTTTAATCAGTTTTATATCGTTGGAGCAAATCTGAACAAAATGCATCAGCTCCTTTTCAAATGTCTGTATGTCTGAGTGGTAATTAGCTCATAATAATGAGAAAAACTGTCACACTTCAATCAGGAGCTCTTATGTTTTTATGCATGTAACTAAAGTACGCTCTACTTGGAGCATCTTCTCATTGTTTCTACAGTCCGATCACAGTATGTACTTCTGAACTTTCAGTTCATGCAGTTCTTCCAGCTTTCTCCAAAGTGTTATTTCCTTGCTGCTAAACTGTCCTCATTGCAGCACCAAACCTGATTCACTTCAACTTTTCCTGCGAGTGCTACTCTTCTGTTTAAATTTGTAATGGCACAAGTTCCTTTTTAATGTGTGCCCTGAAATGGAAAGCATATAATAAATATGATCCAAGATCGACTTGGGCTGGCTCACTATCGCCCTCTATCTTTTTCTCTGTCGCTGATCGATCTTTGTTGTCGGTGGACCTGTCAATGACTCTGTCCTCTCTTTTCTCTGTGGCTACAGGTTCCTGATTGGATGAGTGGGGTTCTGTGGTGTTTGGTGGACGGGACTCACTGCTGTGGGTCTGTTAGTGGGGCGAATTTAAGACCGAGGTTGTGTTGGGGCAGGTTGCATGTTTGCATGCTGTTTGTGTCATGGCCATTAACATCATTCCATTGCAGCAGACATTCCAGGGAATATCTGGGAGGGATTGGGAGAATGGGGAAAGACGCTCTCGAGCAATAATGGAGAAGCCAAAAAGATTTGTTGCCTGGCACTAATATGTTCAACGGAATGTATGTCTGTCTGTACCGTCATCTCATGTTCATCATAACATGCACCTGCATGATCCAGCAGTCTTTCATTCCTAATTCCGTTCTGACCAATTGACCCCTTATTAGGATTTAACCACTTTTTATCCCAACCACTTTTTTAGTGTCTGTTTCCATTGACTTTTCTCTTCCTCATTGATGCATTCCATGTTAACCATGAGTCTCAAAAGCATGACCAATCAGAGTAGAGGAAGCATGGTGCTTCGGTAGCCAATGCGACAGTCCCCACAGCAACATCCACCCACTGGCCCCGCCCCCTTTTGCCATAGTCTGGAGGCTGGAAGGAGCCAGCAGGGGGACCCAACACCATATAAAACAAGCAGAGAACCGCCAGAGAGGACCTCTGAACACCAATCATCATCTCTGCCTTAATTACAGGCCTCTGTGTGGAAACGGGTCTATCTGACCCTCGGTGCCCAAAAAAACTTATTGTTCTTGGGCTGCCAGCTCTCTGCTGTGCTTTCTTCATTTCTCGTCCAGCTCCTGATGTCACATGTGCTAAAAGAACATGCTCACTGCCTCCAAACAAGGGACCACACGTCTCCAGAATCCGATCTCAAGTGCGTGTATTTGTGAATGTGATTCTTACATATAAACTGTGTATGCATATGGATGCATATGTATATACCTAGTTAGTTTTTATTATTAAACTGTACTATGTATTAACATCTTTATTTCAGAATGAATGTTTTTATCGGGATTTTTTTAAAGGTTTTTTTTTTAACCGAGCGAGTGACTTTCAGGCTTTGCTTTTAAGAACCGTGCCGTAATCGCTTTGTAACCAGTTCTTCTTCCTGTCTGAACTCTGTTCTCAATAGGACCCTGGTCTTAACCGATGCACTTTTTACCCTGTTGCATTTGAATTGAAATTTTAGGGAGTGAATGATGTTGGATGTGAATGCTTCCTTTTGTGTGAATGCGTTGTACAGTAAGACAACGTTGACCACTATATACTGGGGTTTGTGTTGGAGAAATAAATACCTATGTCTGTTTGTCTCGTTCATCGTGCCTTTTATTTCTTCAGTCTGTGTTTAGCCTGATGTATTTTGTGATTTATTTCATCACTATTGCTTGTTTTTTCAGCAGCCAAGGATTCTAACCTGAAAGTGTGTATTTGCAGTGCATCATGTGCTGTTATAGATAGTTTTGTCAATAACACACCCACACGCACTACTGTTCAAAAGTTTGGGCTCAGTAAGATTTTTTCTTTGTTTTTAACCAGATATCTAATATTTTAGGCTCGCCAAGGCTGATAAAAAATGCAGTAAAAATAGTAAAATTGTGAAATATAATTACAAAATAGAAGAACTGTTTTGTATTTTTATATATTTTAAAAATTAATTTATTCCAGTAATGGCAAAGCTGAATTTTCAGCAGGTATTACTCCATTCTTCAGTGTCACATGATCCTTCAGAAATCATTCTGATATTTTTATTTGGTGCTCAAGAAACATTTCTTATTATAAATGTTAAAAACATTGTGCTGCTTTATATTTGAGTGGAAATCATGATGCATTCTTTGATTAATAGAAAGAACAGCATTTACTTAAAAGAGAAATCTTTCAATAAAAAACAAATTATGCTATTTTTAATCAATTTAACACAAGCTTGCTGAATTAAAGAAAAAACATACTGATCCTTATACAGTATATATTACACATGAGGAAAAATCGTGTAACAATTAAAAAGCTTTATTAGATATTTATTCAATATTTTCAGAATATTTCATTTATGGGTGACTATTTACAGGTCAATAATACTTAATACAATATATTACACAAACTAGCCTTCACATGCTTACACTAGTGATGATTATGTACATCTTTTTCCATGTGGGATTTTTAAACCTATCAACACTGCTTTGACCAATAGGCTTCATGATATTTCTAAGTGTACAAACTTTACTACCTCGTGTTCCTTCATAGAGCTGCAAATTTGTCTTGAAGGTGTAGTAGTCCATCATCTCAGTCGTCTCTTATCCATAACTTCATGTGTCATATGATTGAGCACATCCATACACCTCTCATGAAGCGTTCTCTCTGCCTCCAACGTTATATGTATTTCATAAGGTGGATGATATATTGGAAATTAGAAAAATTCTATGTACTGGTACCTGCTCATTTCATAAGTGTGGAGCACAGCACACCTCTGGAAGATGCATATGGAACAAAGTAGCTCTCCACAGACAAGTGCCATTTCTGCTCATGAATGGCTTTTAACTTGCAATCTGCATGTGATCTATTGAAGCTCACATTCTGGTAGAGAACGTCCTTTTTCAGATACAGATTACCTTTGACCTGACTCCACAGAGAGGTTCAGAGAGTCTAATATGTATATAAAGTGTCTGGTTTTTCAGAGTTCTGTGTGTTTGACTGGAGGCTCCAGTTTTCTGGACAGGGCCGTAAGGATGAGTTTGAATTTGTCGTATCGCTCTGTCTGGTCCACGTCCGCCCCCCTGCTGCCCCAGAGCAGACGCAACTGGAAATCAGTCCTCAAGATCTCCAGCATGTCATCATTAGCTTGGAATCCTGGAGAGAGAGTAAAGTTTCATTAAAGAATGATTTTTGGTAACACTTTACAGTAAGTTTCAATTTATTGTCATTAATGCAATGGCTATCAGGAAATAAAAATGAACAATTTTTTCAAAGATTCTTTTTAAGAACTAGCTCATAAGAGTCTAAGATTCGTGAATCAGACTACACTAGTCATGCTGTGTGCTTGTTTTGGTACCCAAGCCTTTTACCTTTTAACTTCCTGAGGCAACCCATGATTTAAATGCATATTTTCTTCTGGATTTTACAACTATTGGCCTGAACGGCATTATTCCAAATCAGTTTCAATCCAATGGCATATGAACATTCTATTACATAATGTTTTTGGCTCACCAGTTCCCTCAAGTTAAAGCACTATTTTATTCCTGAAAT